TGAGCCCGGGGCTGGGGAGGGGGCCTGCACCCTGGGCTACCGCCCCAGCTCTTTTTACTGTTTACTTGTTTTTTGGGGGAGCGGGGAGTTTGAGACAGGGCCTCACTGTGTAGTTGAGACTGACCTGGAACTCACTATGCAGCCCAAGCTGGTTTTGAACTCAACAGCGATCCTCCTGCCTCAGCCTCCCGAGTACTGGCATTCCAGGCGTGAGCCACCACGCCTGGCTGTTTTTATTTTAAAACAGGGTCTTGCAAATTTATTCAAGTTGGGCTCAAACTTTTCATCCTCCTGCCTCAGCCTCCCGAGTGCTGGGGTATGCACCACCGTGCCAGTTTAAATTGTCTCAATTATCTCAATAATGTCTTTCAGGGTCAGGATCAGACCAGCATCCTCCCGCCTAATCCCCAAGGAACCCAGGCAGGTTTGGGGAAACACAGGGATACAGGTGGGACCTGTGAATCCCGGGGAGACAGCAGCTTCAGGACAGGGCAGGAGACGGGTGAGAGAGTCCAGGGTTGGTGCTCACCAATGTCCCAGAGCAGCGGGTCATTGGCCTCCATCTCACGGCGCCCGATGACGTACCAGATGCAGGCCATCCAGTGGGCAAGAAGTGCGAACACCCACATGAGCAGTGTGAGCACCACGGCACTGCACTGCGAGTACCGCTCCAGCTTCTGCAGCAATCGCAGGAGCCGCAGCAGCCGCACCGTCTTCAGCAGGTGCACCAGCGAGGTCTGCGGAAGGAGAGGGCCGAGGTCAACTGGGCAGACACCAGGAAGCTGAGAACCCAGGAGGTGCAAGGGGAAAGGAGCCGAATAGCAGCCACTGGGCATTGGTGATCCTCATGAAAACCACGCCTGGGGTCCAGCCCTCAGCTCCACTCCCAGGGTGCAGTTGCTGAGTGGCCCAAGGGGACAGTCCCGGGACTCCAGTCAGGTTCACAGGCACCAAAGCCCTTTTGGGTGGCCTGCGCTGTTCGAAGCCCTTCGGGACAGTGCGAGAGCCTGGTCTGGGGTGGGGGGCAAGAGCCGGGAGGAGCATGGCGGGGACCCTCCCGTGTGGGTCACAAAGACTCCAGGGGGCAGCATACCAGATTGAACCCAGGGCCTTCGCACTGAGCTACGTGCCCTGCTCTTTACTTCTTAAATTTTTAATTAATCGATTAACTAACTTATTTTGAGACAGAGTCTCACAATGTGTTCCATGCTGGCCTCGAACTCACAGCAATCCTCCTGCCTCAGCTTCCCCAGGGGGAGTTAGGGCTGGTGGGCAACCAGCTGTAAGGGGCTGAGCTCGGGCTGGTGGAGCCAGCAGGGCTTTGGAAAGGAACCATAAACGTCCCTATGGATCATAGATAAACATTATTTGGTGCTGTTCTGAGAATCCAACCCAGAAGTGCTCTGTCACTAAGCTACACCCCCAGCCAGTTTTATTTTTTGAAACAGAACCTTGCTATGGAGCAAAGGTGCCCAGATAGGACTGGAATTTGGGATCCTCGTGACTCAGCCTCCCTCCATGCTGGCCAACATTGGCTAATATTACTAAAACTGCTTTTGGTGGTTGTTGTTGTTCTGGGGATTGAACCAGGGGCTCAAGTGTGCTGGCAAGGGTTTAAATACTGATTTACACACCCAGCCCTGAGACTTCTATTTTTGTTTTGATTATTATTATTACTATTTGCTGTTACTGCTTCAGACAGGGTCTTGCTGTGCAGTTCAGGCTGGCCTTGAACTCACTGAGATCCTCCTGCCTCAGCCTCCTGAGTACTAGGACTACAGGCTTGCACCACCACGCCCAGCTTTATGCCCATTAATTCTTCAGTTAGTCCTTCTGGTCTTGGAGGTGAGAACAGGAGGGTGCTTATTTTCTGGGTGGGGTGGCTTGGCAGCAAGGGCCAGAGGCTCTGGGGATTTGGCGTGAAGGCCCAGCTGCCCCGTGGGGTCCTCCAGGAGCATCCCAGGGCCCTGAGCCCACACTGCTCCTGGGCAGCCTTGATTCCTGCTCTCTCGCCCTGGGTGAAGGAGCTGGGCGGGAGCGGCTCGGGCCTCTCTGGCCAGTCCAGGCTCCACACCTGCACCCTCCTGGCTCCCAACCTGGGCCCTGCAGGGGTCCCCGCCACTGGGCCTGTGCCCACACCTCTCCGACCTGCACCGGCAGTGCCTCGCCTCCCTGTTTCTGCCTTGCCTCTCTCTGGATGCCCCTCAGGTGCCCTGGCTGCCCAGAAGGCAGGTGGCAGCTGAAGCAGGAGCCTGGGCTGCTGCTGACCATGTGGCCTTCACTGCCTGTCCACCTTCTGAGGAGGAAGGGCCCGGGGCCGCCCTGGAGAAAGCGGCAAAGGGTGTGACGGACCTCGGAGAGCACCCATGGGGCCAGCAGCAGCAGATGCGGCCGGGAATGCAGATGCTGCACAGTGGACATGGAGGGGTGGGAGTGCACCTGTGGGGCCTCCAGGCAGCCATGCACACACACACGTGTGCAGGAGTGTGCACACACGTGTGCACAGCCAGGAGAGGAGGCCCACAGCCGTTGGCGGCTAGTTAAATCCGGCTGTGTGTAGGTGGTTTCCTGCTATAGCCGGTGCGGCGGAGGCACCAGGGAGCTGCTCCCCTCCCCTCCACAGCCGAGGGGGCCTGGGGACACAGGTGGGCTGGGCGGGGCTGGGCCTGCCCCAGGGCTGCGCTCCCGGCTCAGGGTGAGGCCCCAAGTTCTCGCACACCTGTGTCTTCCGTGCCTGGCCTCCTGAGCTGCCCACTGCCCCTCTCACCCTGCCTGCCGAATCCTAGCACCCACGAAGCCCCAGCCTGGTCCCTCCTGCACTCTGTCCACCTCTGCCCTGGGCTCCCTCACCACGGAGGGGCCGCATCCTGTCCCTTCTCCCCACAGTGACCGGGCCCCACAAAGACTGTGTGACGGCTAAGTGCTCATCATTTGTTTGCTAAATAGAAACATGAAAGCGGCCGCTCATCTGGCAGCCGCCCAAGGCCGCCCTGGTAGCCAGAGTTAGCTGTCGGGGTCTAGCTCTCCTGAGACAGGGCTCCCAGCACCCACCCAGGCTGAGAGCCAGGGTCACTCACCACAGTGACATTGAAGACATAAAGCAGGTCGAAGGGCAGAGCAGCAATCAGGTCCACGAAGAACCAGGTGGCCAGGTAGTGGAGGCCGATGGAGCGCGGGGCTGAGACCACCTGGCCGGACGGGGACACGTAGGTGGTGCGGAAGTTCAGGATGATGTCTGGGGTGCGAGAGGCCGTTCCTCGGTGCATGGCCAGGGCCGGCAGCGGGGACGCGGGGAATGGGCCGAGGGAGGGTCCCCCGCCTCCCCCACCGGCGGCTGCGCAGAGGCTCTGACCCCCGATGAAGAGCATCTCCACCGCGATGTCGCTGACCAGCGTGTGCTGGGACGCGGCCGGGCCAGCATCGTCATCGCTCGAGAAGCAAACGTTGTAGGGGACGGTGACTGCGACGTAGAAGGTGGCCAGCAGGATGAGGCCGTCCCACATGGCCTTGGGGACGCTGTAGTGGAGGAGGAGGCAGCGGGACCCCCCCACGGAGGCCACCTTGTACTCAGGCACTGATGGCTTTGGCTCAAACACGTTCTAAAGGGAGAGGGGTGGCGGTTGGGACGCTTAGGGGAAAGAGGAGCCAGGGCTGAGGAAGAGAGAGGCAGGGGGGACAGGGAGAGGGGAGAGGTGGGCACTGGCAGGGCAGCCAGGGAAGGAAGCAGGTGAGGGAGAGCCGGAGCCTGATGCCTGGCACCTCCTCCTCACTGCGAAGCTCTCTCCGAGCAGCCTGGGGACTGACCCCACGTGCTGAGGAGGGCCTGACAAGTTAGGCGCATGCCCTACCCTGGGTCACTGCCCTCCCTCAAGTTCCCTGGGCTCTGGGCACCTAGAGGGGTGGGGGCGGGGGCGTCACCAGCACTGCGCCCCCCCAGTCTGGGGTCCGTGACGCCCTCGTCTGCCTCGGGCAGGACCTTGGGGGGCAGAGGGAAAGACGGCAGGCCTGCGGGTGGGCTTTCTCCCCAGGACCAGAGCACTTGTGATTTGAATTCCTACCCTGTGACACGGCCTCGACGGCATGGGAGAGATGGCAGCTACAGGAGCAAGGGGACAGGAGCCGAGGCAGTGCGGGGAATGGACGGGGCAGCGGTACCCCGAAGCGGGCATGCAGGGGCATAGCCGCCTGATGGAGACCAGGCAGACGGAGCCAGGGCAGAGCCAGGCACTCGGGTGGGATGGGACTCACATTATTGGTCTCCATGCTTCCCTGGCCCCGGCGACGGAAGTGGCCGGCCAGTCGGCGTAGGACGCTGCGGCTCTGCCTCCGGGAGGACCGAAGTTTGGAGCTGGCTCCCCTCCTGCCAAGGGAATTTTCTGTGGGAGGAAGGAAGGGGGTGAGGCTGCTAGGCCGGGTCAGCAGCGGTCCCGGGCGGTGCTGGGCCGGGACACCAGGCTCGTCACCCCCCCATGGTTACCATGGTTATGGTCCCCATGGATTCCCGGGGGACCGAGCCCTGGCCCTCCACTCTGAGTGATGTCCTTGAAGGAAAAGAGGAACAGCACGACCTCGCCCATCTCGTTCTTGATGGGCATCATGTCCAGGAGGCACCAAAAGGCTGATCCTGCGGGGCAGGAGGTGAGGGTGAGCGGCACCCTTCAGCTTGCGGGCTCCCCTCAGCGAGTCAGGGAGGGAGGGACACAGGCGCTCACCATCCTTGCGGTAGAAACAGATCTCGGCCCGGTGCTCCTCGTGGCCCTCCAGGGCCTTGTGCAGCCGCTGCAGCGCCCGCTCGCTGGTCTCTGGACCGTAGAGGAAGCGGCAGCTGCAGGTTTTCTGCATGACCTCCGTGCGGCCGTAACCTGTGAGCTCGCAGAAGCCGTCGGAGCAGTACACGATGGGGAAGCCCCGTGGGCCCTGCGCGTTGGCCAGCAGGAAGTTGCTGTCTGTGGGGCCAGAGGTCAAGGTCAGGGCTGGTCAGGGACAGGAAGGAGCTGGGGGGCAGTAGCTCCCCCAGATTGTGTTCACAGAGCCAGCAGCTTCTCCTGGCGACATATTCTGAAATAAGGATGAGAGCAAAGGGACAGGGACCCAAGGGTGGCTGACAGCCGAGGCAGGACCAGCAGGGAGTTGGGGCCATGCGAGCCTCCTCCCGCCATCAAGCTGGCGAGCTATGGCCACAAAAGGCGGGCAGCACTGCGAGGAAGAGGCTGTGTGTCTGCTGGCCACTCACAGTCTGTGACAAGGTAATGACCTCTCCTGGGACTCAGTTTCCTCATCTGCAAAGTGGGACACAGAACCCCCTCCCACAACAGTGAGAGTTGCGGCACTCGCTCAGGAGAACAAGTTCTAGTGAGAGCCGCTCAAAACAGTGGGGTGACCCCCTTCTCTCAGCTTTGGGGCCACGTACATGGGCTGTCAGCCTATGATAGTGACCAGGGTGAAGAGTCTGTCTTTTTATTTATTTTTTGGAAACCGAAAGGCAGAAATTTTCCTAATTCACAAATTTCCTTGGTGTAGGGGAGACAGGGATGAGAAGGTCCTGGAGCCCGCCTTCCAGGAAAGGGCCCCTTTTGAACCTTCCTTTAGCTGTCTCAGGGATCCGACCCAGGGCTGGGGAGGGCAGCGAGGGTCGGAACAGCAGAACAGCGCTGGCTACCTGGGCTCCAGCAGAGGGGGTGGTGGGTTACCCGGGGACAGTCTCAGGGGAGGGGTGGGGCCTAGGAGAAGCACCAGGGCTGTGGGGCGGCGGATGGGGGCACAGGGTGCCTAGAAGGCCCTGGGCCCTGGGTGCAGTCTCCTTTTTCCATCCCGGGGCCTGTTGCCTGGGTGATGGGCGCTATGGAAACAGGGAGGTGTGGGGGGAAGGGGGAGGCGGGTAGGGCAGTGGCACTGGTTTCCACCCTCGGGACCAGGAAGGGAAAGGGGATGGCTGGAGCGAGGCCGGGAGGAGTGGTGCGGCTGTCCAAGGTGCTGAACCGGGACCAGCGCTCAGTGGGCGACAGAGGTCCCCTCCGTCCCTGGGGAGCCCCGTCCCCTCCCCCTCCCCGCCTCGGTCCAGGCGCCCAACTATTTGGGGGCGCGTGGCCCTAGTCCGAGCCGGGTGCTGCCGCGGTCTGATCCGGGGCGGGGGATGTTGGAGGACACCAGCTATCATCCCGCCCCGGCTCGGAACCCCA